GAATGAATGCTTTTCATCGTAAAACATTTGTTTTCCCTGCTGCAATTGTTCTTTGGAAGCTAGCGGGTTCCCAAAGCGCTTGATGTTGCACTGAGACCTTCCTGCAGCTGCGTGCCCCCTGCCGGCCGGCCGCCTGTTCCTAGCAGCGGTGTGCAGCGGTGTGTGTGCGCGCGGTGTCCGCTGTGAGCCCCGCCCGCCCTGCCCGCCCCTGTGGGGAGGGTGAGCTGACTGCCTGCTGTTTTCTCTCTCCCAGTCCATCAACAAAGCCATGGAAAAGGACCATGAAGAATACAACATCGGGGTCCTGGACATCTATGGCTTTGAGATCTTCCAGGTAAGGCCAGGGTGAATAGCCTGTGACCAGGAAGTGGTGTATCGCACCTGGTCTGCTGGAAAGATTTCTCAGCAGTGAAAGCAAAGGAAGCGCCAGTCTGGCCCAGTTTTGCCTTCGTGAGTTCTTCTTGTGCCTTTGCCAAGTTCATTCCTCCTGCTGATATAAATCACACTTTTTAGAGCCATCCAGTGTTTCCATTAAAGCTTTTCACATGGAGACTTTTCTTGAAATCACTAAAAATGACTTTTAATTGATTTTGCAAAATGATTTTTTTCTTCCAGAAAAATGGCTTTGAACAGTTTTGCATCAATTTTGTTAATGAAAAATTACAGCAGATTTTTATTGAACTGACGTTAAAGGCAGAACAGGTAAGCACTGCCTATTCCTCTGTACTATTTCTGATTTGTCTTAAAAGGTATAGATTCCCCTTTCAATAACCGACTCAGATTCAGCCTTGTATCAGGAGACATTCCAAATAAAGCCACGCAGAAAAGCCATATGCCGTGGCGGCATTCTGAAATACAAACAGAGCCTCCCCCGTCCCACTGCCTGCCTGTGCCGTGTGCCTGTGGAGAACGCTGCTCTCTGCTTCGTAGCTCTCCCAGCCCCCCCTAAAAGTACATGTACTTTTAAAAGCTGACGTTTTCCTTCGTATGTGAGGTAACAGTCTTGCTTATGGTTCCTTCTAGAAGTTAGGTGCAGGCACCACCGTATTCCTAGTGCCTCTGGTTCGGTGCCGCCCTGACAAGGCACAGGCTGGGTGGTATAGCAGAGCTGAAAATTCTCATTCCCATCCTGTCTCTGGGGCCCACAGCCTGAAGTTGGGGTCACTCTCCACAGGCTCTGAGGAGAATGCTTCCTGGAGTCCTGCAGCTCTTCCTCTTCCAGCTGCTGGTGGGGCCCAGCATTGCCGGGCTGTGACAGCATCGCTCCAGCCTCTGCTTCTCTGTCTCTTTGGGTCTGAATGTCCCTCTCCTTTCCTTTGTGAAGAAGCCAGTCTCTGGATAACTCCCCACTGCCACTGCTGGATGACTTGATCATGAGGCCCTTAAACAGATGATGTCTACGAAAACGCTGTTTCCAAACCTCACATGCTGGGGTGGACATGAAATTGGGGGGGACACTTTTCACCTCCCACTCCTCATAAGCCACGGCAGTTTTAGGGCTGTTTGAGTCAAAGGAAGATTTTTTTTTAGTGGAACTGGAGAGGTGAGCGCTTGTTCTACTGAGCCGTCTCCCCCCGGCCCCTAAAGCAGTTTTTTTGTTTGTTTTTGTTTTGGGCGGAACCAGGGATTGAACTCAGACCCTTGGCTTGCCAGGCAAGCACTTACTCTACTGAGCCATCTCCCGGCCCCAGGGCTGTTTGATTGTGAAAGTCTTACTTGACCGCGTAGGCTCCCGCACAGCCCTGGACTCCCACCTGCCTGTGGCGGCAGCGTGGACAGCCAAGGAGGGCACGGTGGGGGCTGACGTGGCGGGTCTTGGTTGGCCACAGAGCTCAGGCCGTATTCACAGTCAGTGTGGCTGGCACCCACAGAGGAACTCTGGGTAAGAAGTGATACGATGTGTGTTACCTTCGAGAAGGTCACTGTGGTTCTGTAGGGTGCAGTAAGTCAGAAGCAGACAAGCCAGAGAGGGAGTTTAAGTGCCAGTTAGGAGAGCCCCTGGAAGACAGTACAGAGCGGTGGGGCTTTGGAGGTAGAGACCTAGTAAGAAGCCTGCAGATCCTGCACAAGTCGTGGGGACAGGAGCCAGCGGGGCCTGCTGGAAATGCTTACCAGTGAGCTAAGAAGGGAGAGTAATCCAGCCGATTCCCAGCCATGGAGCTGAGATCAGAAGACGGCAGTGTGGACTCACAGCTCCGCTAAAGAAGGAGAGGCCTAGCATTCACCCACCTGAAAGCCTCCTGTGGAGACCACGAGTGAGTCTGGGATTCCAGCGTGCTTCACCTAGAACCAGTTCAGTTCAAGGATCATAGTTCAGGGTATCAACAAACGCCGTCCATTGAAGTCACTTAGGGGAGGGAGGAGGGCTGCTGGAACAGGCTGGCTCAACGATCAGGCCTGCGATGCCATCGTTGTAAAAGTCTAGAAAGAAAAAGAGCTGGTGAAGGAAGCCAGCAGAGCATTCCAGGGGCTAGACCGGAAACCGGGGAGCTGCCGTGCTCTACCGTGTTAGGGGAAGATCTCACCTAAGTGACGACGCTGCTTGTTGGAGTTCAGGTGCCTCTGTGCACTCTTGCCCTGTGTTGCCACCAAAGAGGCTTTGTTTTACTTTAAACTAGACTTCATTGGTTAACCCTCAAGTTGGCAGATTTTTGGTCAAAAATAGCTATATGGATCAGTAACCTTCAGTACCTGAGAGGCTGAGGTAGGAGGATTGCTGTAAGTTAGAGGCCAGCCTGAACTACAGAGGGAGACCCTATCTCAAAGAAAGAAACAAACAACAGTTATATGGTAGCAGTTTTATATGGCTCAAAATAAATATAAAAATCACCAGCCCTTGAAATACTCTTTTCGTATCACCTCTCAGAGAAAGGGATCGAAGCACCTGGTATTTGTTGAAGGGACTCTGGCTTGTGTGTCCCGCCGCTCACTGGGTGATTGACGTTGCTTTCTGGCTTCCATCCAACAGGAGGAGTACGTCCAGGAGGGCATACGGTGGACGCCCATCGAGTACTTCAATAACAAAATCGTGTGTGACCTCATAGAGAACAAAGTCGTAAGTGCTTCCCTCGTGGCCTTCGTGGTCCCATTCACAGATTTGCATGACGTGTTTCTTCTCTCCGTAATTGTTTTAGAACAAGCAGATTAGCTCCTCTGATTTGCAGAGAGCTTTAGCAGTTCATTTGCTTGGCGTGCTTGTGCGTATGTGAAGACACAGCAGTCGTGCTTGTCCCTAATAGCAAGCAGGAGCACGAGTAGACTCATGTCACTGTCAGTGGAGGCAACCTCCGAGGCCCAGAAGACAGCTGCCGTGCAAGGGCTGTCGAGTGGGCCTGCCTTCTGATTCAGTTACCACAGCGTCTCAGTCCTAGCCCTCAGAAACTATTTAAAAGGAGATAAAGAATCAGTGGAGCTGGAGGTTTCTAAAGGACTAGTTTTCCTTCAAAAAGCCAAAATCTGGAAACAGTAAAGGCATCCAAGACAACTCAGCCATTAAGTAAGCCACAGTGTGAGCAGGGAAATGACAAGGCGCGAGGGACACCTGTAAAGTGGTGCGAGGAGAGAAAGGCCAGTGCCACAGCGGACACGCAGGCCACGTCACTGTGTAGCGAGGCCTCCGTGGGGGCGGACAGAGGAGACCACAGAGCCTGAATCAGGGTGCCACAGACCTATGCTCTGCTTACCTGAGTCTGAGTAGGGGTGAGGAGGACTCGGCCTTGAATAACGCAGAGGGAGCTGGCCGCTGGCATAAAGGCCTTGCTCCTGGCTGGCCCTCCGGCCTTCAGGGCATTCCTGCCTGGAGGGAGAGGCTCAGCTGGCCTCCCACGTGGGGCCGCGCCTAGGAGAGACCTCAGGGGCTGCTGTGCAGGAGTCACCAACGGCTTCTTCCCCTTGGTGCCCCAGAACCCCCCCGGGATCATGAGCATCCTGGATGATGTGTGTGCCACCATGCACGCGGTGGGCGAGGGCGCAGATCAGACCCTGCTGCAGAAGCTGCAGATGCAGATCGGGAGCCACGAGCACTTCAACAGCTGGAACCAGGGCTTCATCATCCACCACTACGCTGGGAAGGTCAGTGGGCTGGGCTGGGCCGGGTGGGCTGGGCTGGGCCGGGTGGGCGGAGGGGGCGGGGCGGGGGCCTCCCTGGGCAGCCTCGGATGTGCAGTCTGTTCTCCCGCATGGCCAGAGAGAGCCATGTCCGTGTGCCTCGCTGCGCCACATGCATTCGACACACGCGACCGCGGAAGCATATGAGGAAGAAAAGCTGCATATTGCCCATGAATCGCCCTGGTGCATGCAATTAACTCCTGAAGGGGTGGGTTCTGGGCTGGTGTGCGCATCAGCAGAGGGCGTGGCTCCTGGGGGCTTTCTTCTGTGCAAGTCGCCGGGCTGGGCTTTCACCCTGGCTGGCCTCTGATTAAGCAGGATCCCTTGGTGTGAGTTGCTGCCCAGAGTGCTGCAAACCTGATTACCATTTCTGGAGAAAATGTCTAAGCTTCAGATGCCATGGTCCATCCCAGAGGATGAAGGAGCTTGAGGAATTTTATTTGGTTGTAAGAAAAGCATTGCTTAGACACCTGCGGCTCCACTGGTGCACAGGCCTGTGGTCCTGAGAGCTGGCCACCTGGTCACAAGTGCTCTGGGCCACTGAGCAGCATCTGCCAGCTGTCACCAGCTAACATAGACATGGAGGAATCCCAAACACTGCCTTTGGAAATGGAGCACATTCTGGTGGGACAGCCTTCCCTACCCGGATTTATCCACAGAAACATGTACAGGGGGCCATCGGGCTTCTCTCGCTCTTGGCAGGTCTCCTATGACATGGACGGCTTCTGTGAGAGGAACCGGGACGTGTTATTCATGGACCTGATCGAGCTCATGCAGAGCAGCGAGCTGTGAGTGTCCCTGCCCGCTACGCGGTGCAGGCGTGTACTGTTCCGAGCAAGCTCACGAGCGCGGCACTTTGCTCCTTTGAACTATTGAGTGCAGATAGTGGCTTAACTATCTGGTTTCTCGAAAATGCTTTCCTCCTTCCGGCCTCAGCCTCTCCCTCTGCCCCCAACGCTTCCCGTGCACAAATTCCAAGCGCCAGCTCTATGCCTGGCTGCCTCGCCCTGGGCATCGTCCTGCTGCTCAGGAGCAGTGAGCGTGGTGGGTCCTGGCTGAGAGGGCGCTTTCTGACCATCTGAGCGTGGTGTGGTCTGGTTCTCTGACCCTTTGTTCAAACAAGATTTCCACCATCACTTTGTGGCTAATGGCCAAACAAGACCTACGTTAACCCGAGTCCCTGTCACACTTGGAAGTCAAGAATTCCCGGCCTTCCAGATGCTGTCTGAGCTGCAGGACTGGAATGGCGGGGGGCCCTCCCACAGGCTGCAGGGCTCTGGGGACAAGCTCAGGGTCCTTTCCTCCCCTTGTCCCTGCAAAGCTTCTCAGGAGTCTGGGTCTCCCCCACATCCCAGGCAAGTGGGATGTCCCCGAGGCTCCCAGGACTCAGAATTCCCAGGGTTCCCTCAGTCAGCAGTGCTCTTCCCAGTCTCTGTTGATTCATTGTTGTAACATGCAGGCTGACTTCTGTCATCAACACCAGCGGTCCTGGTAACTTTCTCAGAAGGTCCCATCTCCCACGAAAGAAAAGTCGTCCTTCCCCACCCGGTCAGAAGTGTCCGCGCCTTCTCCTCCCTCCCCACCACTCCTGTGCCCCTCCAGATGCTCGTGTTTTCTCGAGCTCAGGCCAGCTCTCTGCGCTTTGGACCCCTTTCCATTCATAGCACACATCCACCTGCTCTTCTCAGGAAAGGTCAGGTGGGCCCTGCTCCTGGCTCGTGGATTTCATAGCAGCCAGGTGAGCACTGGCTTCCGGAGACTGTTCTGAGTTCCTTAAATACCTGCCAGGTTCAGGAGCTGCTTGTGGGTCCACGCACACCCACAGTGTAGAC